CTATTTTTAAAGACTTTATTTATTTATTTTTAGAGAGCAGGTAAGAGTGGGAGAGAAACATCAATGTATGAGAGAAACATCAATGTATGAGAGAAACATCAATCAGTGTGCCTCTTGAACACCCCCAACCAGGGACCTGGTAACAGCCCAGGCATGTGCCCTGACCAGGAATCAAATCAGTGACCCTTTAGTTTGTGGGACGATACCCAACCCACTGAGCCATGCTGGTCAGGTAACCTATTTCCTTTTTTTTAAGTGGCCTCCTTTTTTCCAAATCAAAAAAGATAATTTCTGTTAACAATGTGTTCCATAAGTTTTTAAATAAATATTTCAACTAATTCATATATATTTTTCATGTATGTTATAGCCATCTGTGTCAATAATTATAGATCTATTTCATTTATCATTGTATAGACATACCACAATTTATTTGACCCTATACAAAGCCATTTTGATTGCTTTAGAAACTCTGTAGTAGCAAATATCCTCATACATATATCTCTGTGCACTAGCCCTTGGGATAAATACCTAGAAGTTAAATTACTGGTTTAAAAGTGTATGCAATTTATTATTTCTTAAATTTCTCTGATTTTAGAGAAACAGAGAGAAAGGGAGGGAAGGAGGGAGAAAAAGAGGAAACACTGATTTATTGTTCCACTTATTTATGCATTCATTGGTTGCTTCTCGTATGTACCCTGACCAAGGATTGAACCCCACAACCTTGCATATAGGAACAAAACTCTAATCAACTGAGCTACCTGATCAGGGCCAAGAATACCTGCACTTTAAATTTGATACATATTGCCAAATTGAACTTCAGAGAGACTATGTTAATTTATATCCGCAGCAACACAGTATGAGTTCACTTCCTCAAGTCCTCCATAGCAATAAATATTTTCTGTTTAATATGTGTTAATCTAATATGATATTTAATTTAATATGATATCTCATTTCTGTTTGTATTTTCTGGATTATAAGTGAAACAGCCTTTTTTATTAGTCTATGACTTTGGCCCATTTGTGTGTGTTTTTGCTTTTTTCCAATTGATTTGTAAGAGGCTTATGCACCTTAGAGTCATGTTGAAAACACTTTGTTAACCAGATGGCATCTGCTTTTTAATTTTGTTTATGGTGTTTGTTGTAATTTTTTTAGATAATCTATCACACTTTTTCCTTTATAGTTTCTGCCATTGGTGCCCTAATAAATTATTTTCTAGTATACATATTACTTTAGATGTCATGTAAAGATCTTTAATCTACCTAGAATTTATTTTGCTAGAAGATGAAAATTTTTTTAATGGTTAGACATTTGTCCTGAACACTATCCTTTCCCACTAAAACCCGGGTCTGTTTCTGGGCTTTCTAATCTATTCTGAGCCCAGCTCCCCAACAAGAATTATTCTTTCCTGTTAGATTAGTTTTTCCATTGCCACAATAGGTTCTATGCAGGTTGCTGCCCATATTCACATTGTTGCCTTTGCCTGAAACATCCTCTTTCCTCCCCATCACAGATCCTTCAAAGCAAAACCATTCCTGGGATAAGAAGTAAATGCTACCTAAAACAAAAAATGCTTTCAAAAGAGGGAAGATAATGTAAAAGAACACATCAGAGTTTCCCCAAATTCTTTGTGTAGCTAAAGAAGTGGATGAGTATTTTATTCAGCAGAGCCCTTTGGTGGGCTTTGGACACACAGAAGTGAGTTAGGGAGGAAAAGTTAAGAGTTCGCTTACTTTGCATAATAGAGTAAAAGTATTTGAAGTGCTTAGTGACAATACAGTAAGGAAGGTTTGCAGAAGAAAGGTAAGATTATAAGAAAGTAAGGCCATATACCTAGGTGATATGAATAGCAGTAAATCCCTAATGGCTAGGTAGGCAAAAGTATTTTAAGGGACAGGAATAGCCAGTTTTAAAATTCAAGTTGCTTCCTTTCCTACAATGTGAAATACTCTCCATCACCCCAAACTTTTAATAAAGTCTGCTACACACATAAAGGCTAGCTTGGAGACAGATATGTGAGTTCTACATCTGGGTCAGTGTGGATGAAAACAGATACTGTATAGCATGTTTGGAACAGCAAGGCCATTTATAATGTGAAGTAATTTAGAGCTCAAAATTAGAGTGACCATAAATAAATACATGAGATTCCAGGAATTTGGAGCAATCTAGGTGAAGGAATAAGACTTTCTACAAGTTGTAGAATGACACATTGAGACAAACTTTTAAGGAAAACTATAGTTCTAGCTAACTACTTACGAGTTACACTAGGATACTCAATCTTTGGGACAATCTAAAAGGAACCAATCTGCATGAGGTTCAGTAGCATCTTACAAAAGCAGCCAGTAGAGAAGGTGACAATTACTCTGCTTGCCTAAGAAACAAGCTGAGGATTATATGCCCCATCCCTTCTCCACTCTGCATGCTTCCAAGGGGTCTTCTGACCCCTATCCTACCTAGAGTGTTCTTATAAACTCTCACTTCTTCCACGATGCTTTCTCCCGGTTTTAGCCCTCAGATGCTTCCCTTTCAGAACTTCCATTTTACTTAGAATCTGAATCTCAATTTAACCGTTAATTGCTCTTTATGTTTTTTCTGTTAACTTCACTGCTGAATTCAAGTATAGGTGCCTTGCAGACAAGAACCACAACCTAAAAAGAAGGAAAAAAGGGGAGGAGGCAAGAAGGAAACCACCCACCCACATCCTAAACAACTTACATTACACTCAGAACCTACCAAATTTCTGGTGGGGGAAGAGTATAAGATAGTGATACAGAAACAACTTTATTAATGACCCTGGATGGTGATGCTCCTAAGTCAAGGAAAAGAGGAGGAATAGGAATATAGGAATATAGGAATAGGAATAGGAAGGAATAGAGGAATATGGAGAAGAGGATGGGTTGAAAAAGGATATAATTTAGCTTAGAATGTATTGAGTTTAAAATGTAGAAGAGCCATCCAGGTTATAACGTCAATAGTGTTTAGCCACTGTGAGTCAGGAACTCAGAAGAGAAATTTAGGGTTAGAGACAGAGATTTGAGAGTTTCTTAAGTATCAGTAATAGAGCTAAAACCCTAAGCATAAACAGCATCACCCAGGGATAGTAAGGGGAGGAGAGAAGAGAGCTAAGAACAGAATCTTAGGAAATATCTTTATGTAGGGAGCCTGTTAGGGAAAAACTAGTTGGAGAAAACAAGCCTTCTGTAGTTATAGGCCAACTAATACTTATAGGCAGACTGACCAAATAACTGACTGGCTCCATTTAAGATCTCTAAATGCCCATTTCAAGCCTTCTTTCCACCTTCTGTAAGTTACCTCACTCCCTGATCTTCAGTTAAAACTATGGTCTTTCAGAGGAAGCGGCAGAAATGGTCAAGTGCCATAGGACAGGATCCCTAGGGTGGGGCTTGTGGGTAGAGAATGCTACTTGTTGAATGTTCAAAGAACATCATACCTAATGGCATACCTAAAAGCTGAGCTTTTCCATCTAGTTCGTTTTATGATTATCTCAGCCAACTGAATTAAGATTGGCCAACCAAAGTTATCACTCATGACAGTAAAGACATATACATAAGGGTCTCAAAGAGTACTAGTAATTTCTTTTTTTTTTTTAAGATTTTATTTATTTATTTTTTAGAGAGGGAAGGGAGGGAGAAAGAGAGAAACATCAATGTGCAATTGCTGGGGGTCATGGCCTGCAACCCAGGCATGTACCCTGACTGGGAATCAAACCTGTGACACTTTGGTTCGCAGCCCACGCACAATCCACTGAGCTACGCCAGCCAGGGCAGTACTAGTAATTTCTCAATCAAGAGTCTTAGAGATTTCTTTTTTAAATTTTATTTTTAGAGAGAGGGAAAGGAAAGGAGAAAGAGAGGGAGAGGAACATCAGTGTGTGGTTGCCTGGGGACCTGACCCATAACCCAGGTATGTGCCCTGATTGGGAATCGAACCAGTGACCCTTTGCTCGCAGGGTGGCACTCAATCCACTGAGCCACACCAGCCAGGGTGAGAGTCTTAGAGATTTCTATCTGCTTCAAGTAGTCTTTTCCTGTCTGTCCTGGTTGGGAAAAGCACACAGAGAAAAGTGACTGGCTTCCTCTTTGGTTACCACCTATGCCAGCCAGAGCTCCTTAGCACTTGGTCACCCACCCTACCAGATGTAAATGGCTCTTCACCTCTAAGATCAGTGTACCCACAAAGCATGGATTTACCTCCACTAAAAGGTTGAAAAAAAATTATTATAGTCTGGACTTCCCATGAGCTATAAGAGAAGAGGGATTTCACAGGGAAAGTAGAAAATATGTAATGTCATACCTATCCCATATGAATGTGCTCCATTCTACTTGACACTGATCCCCATTGTAAAGTCAAAATCCTGAACTAGCAGTGAGGCTTGACACTGAGGTAAACAGTTCCAGGATAGGAGGGAAGGCATGCTCGGAAGTGCTAGGGAAATCCTGGAAGAGGTCAAATGCAGAGAAAGAAGCCTCAGAGAAGTCCTCCTTCCTTGGATTCAGAAACTGGAAGAAAGGGGAAAAGGATCCAAATGTGGGAGAAAAAATGCAGAATATCTATATACTTCCTCCCCACCTTAGGGTTCCTCACCAGGTCACATCAGGCCTTATGCAGACACACAGTAAGCAGTCAAATGGGTGCTATGATTCCAGCAGAGACTGGTAAACAGTAGGTGGTTCAGTGGGCTTTTGTTCAATGAAGAACACAAGGAAAAATTTCCTACCCCAAATAATTTTTTTCATGGATAGTCACATTACCTTCACCTACAATTTCTCCATTTGCTGTCCATTCATTTGGGATCAAGACTCATACTTTCTAAAACTGTGCCCCACCAAACTTCATGTTCTGTTAGATTTTAATAAATATTCCTTTAGAAAATAAAATGGTTTTCTAATTAAGTTGGAAAAATATTATATTCTTTATACTTTATATTATACTCCCTTTTGGAGCTTTACAAATGCATATTTAAAGCTCTTATTGAGGCAGAGGCAGCTGTAGAGCTAGCATGAAATTCAGGATAGGGGCCTAAGCTAAGAATCTTGTTCCACAAGGGCACCTGGACAGATCAGCATGACATTCAATTAGACAACAAGTAGCAGGCAGAATTCAGGGTGGTCAACACTGGGAGATATGTGCATGAGCAGGACTCTACCTACCAAAGCCTAAATTCAAGAAAAGGCTCTAGGCTCAGAGAAGGGACCTAGCCTAATTAAGGCTGGAAAGCAAAGGCCACAGCCCCTGGTGAGGGATTGACAACAGGGTTGTAGTCTTGAACAGGGCTGGGGGTTCAGGCAGGCAATTAGACAAAGCTTGATCCTCTTAGGAAAAAGTCAAAATATATGTATTACGGAAGGGAGACACCGATTGTCATGCAGTGCACAGTACACATGCCCATAAGTCCCTCCCTGCTGGGGGTACTAGCTCCAAAATCTTAGTGACCAGCAGATCCAGCTACATCACTAGATCTTGTGTATGGGGCTACAGTAGTTAGGGGAAAAGGATGGAGTGTGGTACCTCCAGAAAACTCTCCAGAGCTGTGCTAATTCCAGTAAGGAAACAGATTCAAACCCTGTAAAACTTCAGGAGGTGAGAGGTAGAGACCATTCCTAGGACAGCCCTTTAGGAAAATATGCCAAAAGAAACGAGTAAGAACCCCAGAGGCCTGAATGAAGCCAAAAATCTGATCAAAGGAAAATGTACTAGACTTAGGGTACAAATGTGGACAGAGTAGAAGTTGAAGCTTGAGACTGAAAGACCTCCATGAACCCAACTGTGAGGATCTAGGAAAGGCAGAGAGTTGAGTTGCCTCTGTCAAAGACCCCCTGGGGGAGAAAAAGATGTGAAAATTTAGATCACACAGGCAGTTTAAGAAGCCTGGTAAATGAGAGATGAAGCCAACTAAGGGAGGTTCTCTCTGTTTGGAGGAATTCAGGCCAAAAAGTTGTAGATCTGAATCACAGGTGCTATGCTGGCAGCCTCTGGAGTGGCTTTTTGGCTCTACAAAGTCAGTGAACAAGGGGAAACTGCACCTTCTCATGGACACCCGCAAGTGCTTTGTCACTGTTTTTAACGTGGCTTATTTTGCTTTCCGGTAAAGCCCTGTCTCTGCACAGCTCATTGGGAAATCAAGACCAGAAGCTGTATATGACCAGTGGCCACTAAGGAAGTGCCCTGCCCATGTTGTCAGCAGCAGCTTCTTTTGCGCCACCATTTGACGTCATTTCTGGGAAGCTCCTTCACACTTCCTAAGTTCTGATGGTCTTGTCTAAGGACAGTCACAGCAAACCACAGACCCAAAAGTCCTTGTCACATTCTGCCTGTCAGATGCTCTCCAGACAATACTGTGCCTGCATACTTAGCATGCTGGTGGGAAATCTTTGCTCCAAGCCCCCTCTTGGGATCAAGAGCATCCATCCCACCTACCCTCAGCTGCTAGTTGTTTTTATTTTTTTTTTTCAGACAAAACTGTAAAGGAAATGAAACGTTTCTTTAGAGACCAAACTTCTCTTTTCAGAGAGCCTTTATCTCCAACTCAGTGTTGTCTCCCTCCTGCCGCTATGACTGGGAGCACAGTGTCCTCTCCTCTCTGTCGGTTGTCTTAGTCTAGTTCTCAGAGATTAATCTCATAAATTGAATGACACTTCCACTTACATGACCAATATCCTTCATATCAAACCCCTTCCTGGAGTCTCTTCATTTTTAGTAGGGTCTCAAAGACTTAAATCTAGGGAATGAAATCTCACTGTGTAACTCCAACCAATGGCAAATAGCTGAGGTAAGTCTTTGAGGGGCAGGACACATTCTTGGTGCCCCTAAGATTACACCAATTGATAGACCAGCCCTGTCTCTTCTTATTCCATCACCTGACACTCTCAAGCTGTCTACTCTGCCAGCCCAAAGGCCAGGCTCCCCTGGATCTGAGCCAAATCCACTGCCATCTGGTCTCCCTTAGAAAGACAAAAGAGAGACACCTTGTTTACTCAGTAATAATTCACTGCAATAGTCACATAACAGGTGCCACCAGCTCTAGTAGATGCAGTAAGCGCACACCACACCCTCATCTCTGCCCCTGTCATGGCTTACTCCTTGGGATACAGCAACAGATTTTATCTGAATGACAGGACAGGGCCTCTTAAGCACTAAACCAGAGTTACCAGTGGTGTTTTGACACTTGTGGGTTACACTGCAATGGTGAACTAGAGCTAAAGAATAAAGGCTTTTTTAAATCTTCCCCTACAGCCATTTGGTATTTTTCCCACATATGTTGTTGTAGCATCTCTCTATATAAAACCTAGTATCCTATAAATAGGATGCTCTGGCTAAACAGGTCTCAACAAGCAAAACTAGAGAAAGATGGTGTCTCCCCATCTCTTTCTGCCCACACCCCTTTGCTAAATCTTGTCAGAGATAGAAGAGCTCTACAATAACAGCATGGGCCTTGGAATTGCAGACTTGAGTAGAAATCAATCCTAGTTCAGCCTTTTATTCGCTGTTTGACCCTGGGCAAGTTACATAACTTCTCTTTCAGCTTGCCCACGTGCAAAAATTGAGATAAATATTGGTTTGCATTATGATAAGAAAATATATGAAAAGCATCTAGTTACATGCTGGCTCTTCAGGGATGTATTTGTTCTTCCTCATCTAGCACATCATACACCTGGTGCCTTCATGTTACGCTCTGGCTATACAAGGCCAAGGTATGTGCCCCGCACAAACCCTTCCTTTCTTTCCTAAACCCTATCAAAGTTCTCATTCCTTAGAAGACCTGATCTAATCATGATGATAAAAGGAAAGCAATTCTGATGAAATTTAATTAAAGTAAAATGTGGATAATATTGCTGGATTCCTAAATTAACCATGTGTATGGGGGGCAGGGAGAAGGTTCTGCATTTAAAAATGGAGCCTAGAAATTCAAATGAAAGGAAGGTCAACTAATGGCAAGAGGACAGGGGACCAGTATATTGGTCTCTCTCCCTGCAAGACAACCCATATCACTATGCTGAGATGAGAAACCATCAGAGCTACAGAACATCATCTTGGATTACTGAATATCACACCTCAAGTCAACAGGTCCAGAATAAAACTTGGGAGCCTTGGCTACTCCTTCTGCTCTGGCCAGCAAGCACCACTTCCTTAGCCAAGAAGTTACCACCATGCTTTTTTTCCTAGGAGATTTCCAACACTATTTTAAACTCTTTGGAATCAAGCAGCAACAGGATTTGAATATGGTCATAGCCTTTGAACAGCCTGTAGGAAGCCTGGGCTCTACTTCCAGAATTGCACCATCCTTCTCTGAATGGTCCCAGCAAGGCCCAGATTAATACAGAAGGCAGAGTAAACCTGTGTCTTGAGTTCTCTCTCAGTAATCCAGGAAGAAATACTACAGGAAAATCTCTGGGCTTTCCATACACAGGATCAGAAAGCAGATTATTACAACTAAAATGGCCTAAGTAGCACAATGTGCTATGCTGACTATAAATCACAATTCAGCATGGGAGTTTTCCTTAGCAATGTTCACGTTCTATTTGATTTTCTTGGCAAACTCCCAGGGAGCCCAGGGCACTAGCCCAGGCTGGGGTCTCAGGAGCCAGACACCCCTTGGGGGTGAAAAGGGATAGATGGCAGCTTCAGCAGATGGAGTAAAAAGGAAAATGTGAAGTCCAAGGTGAGGGAGGGACTGGTCCAGGCAGGATTATCCAACAGCATGTGCTTAGGGAGCTATCAAAGAAGACACAATAACAAATATTTTTAAATTATTTACTATTTATCCAAGTAGTCACCATGGTAAAAACTAGAATTGTGCTGGATTTTCCTCACACTTTGATAATTTCCTTATACTTATTTTGTTTTAGTATTGTTCTTGAAATATATATGGGGGCTGAAGTATGAGGGACATAATAATCATTTTATTGCACAGGCCCCCCAAAGTTCTTAATCTGATCTTTGGCTTTAACAAGAAGCAAGAAAAACTGGGATTCCAAAGCTTCAAGGTTAATATTCACTTCTTCATTGAATAAACATTTCCTGAGGGGCTGTCCAGTAAGTGCCAGGTCTTTGCTCAGTCCTGGATACAGTGGCAAACAAAATATATGACTCCTAAGTCCCCAAAACTCAGTCCAGTGAGAGGAGCTGACAATAAGAGCAAGATCCAAAGGAAAAGGTCTGTAGTGGGAAAAAAAAAAACGAGATTACACAGCCAGTAACAGGATGTGAAGGGAGGAAACCTCTTTAGGCATGCCAGCAGAAGAGACCATGGGCAGACAAGAAGCTATTCAGAAAGATGAGCTGGGTCAGATAATGTCTTTATCCCCTACACCCATAGGGGAGAGATCCACTGTGGTGGTTTGTGTTTATCAAGAACAGGTAACCTGGGCAGTCACAGCCAGTGCTACCATGAAAGAAGTCCTTCTCTACTCACAGCCATGAACTATGATATGTGCTTTGTGAGCTGTGTGTGAGATCCCAAAAGTGCCAAAGAAAAATAAAACTTGAGTTGTCTACTGACAAATTCAAGAAGCATAGCAGGCCAGAAATGAGAAGCATAATTCAACTGCTAGAAGAAATTGTATGACCATCCCCTCAAATTCCACTCACTTTTCTCTGATAATGCATGGAAACTAAATATAAAAGCCTAATTTCACCTGAAGGGTTGGAGCCAGGAAGAAACCTAGTGAAATGATCAGGCTACAGCCAGAAACCTCATGAGAAGGGTTTCTACTTTAGGATATGAAGTGGGCATGAATGGAGAAAGACTGTGCCTGCTGTGTTAGAGAAAGGAGCCATCCCAACAGCTGAGGCCCAGCACTACCAGAAATGGAAAGCTGTGGTGAAGGTGGAGAGCTAGCAATGGCAGGAGCTTCAGAGTAAGTGCCCAGCCCACAGAGCAGTGGCCTAGAGATATCTCCAAATACTTGTTCACTTTGGGTTTCCATTTCCTTACCTGATAAATGAAGATAATAAGAGTGTGCACTGGTTTCCTAGGGCTGCTGTAACAAATACTAAAAACTAGGTGGCTTTAAACAACAGAAATTTATTCTATGACAGTTCTAAGGCTAGAAGTCCAAAATCAAGTTGTTAACAGGGCCATGCTCCCTCTGAAGGCTCTAGGGAAGAATCCTTACCTGCCTCTTTCAGCTTCTGATGGCTGTCAGTTATCTTTGCCCTTCATGGTTTGTAGCAGTGTAATTTAAATCTCTGCCTCCATCTTCATCTGGCCATCTTCTCTCTGTGTATGTCTCCCTCTTCTTATAAGAATACCAGTCATTGGATTAGGACCAACCCTAAACCAGTATCTTCATCTTAACTTGATTATATCTAAAAAAACCCTATTTCCAAACAAAATCACATTCATGGGCTCTGGGTGGACATAAATAGGGGTGGGGGCACTATTCAACCCAGTATAGAGGATCTGCTTCAGGAAGGGTATATACACATATGTAAGGTGCTTAGAACAGTTCCTGGTACATAATATATACCATGTAAGAGTGAGCTGCCCTTCTATTTATCTCTGGCAGACAGTAGCTGCCATAGGATATGTAGATGCCCTACTTTACGAAAATCATCCTCCCTCTATCTTGAATCAGAGGCAAGATGGAACTAGAGTTCCAAAATGAGCTGATGAGTTTATTACTATTCGGTACCTCCTATCAATACCCTAACCATACCCTCAGGCTGGAGTGAGGAAACACCTGCTATTGTCACTTCATTTGTTTCTTGAACAAAGAACTTTGAGTTTGAGGTGGAGATTTGATATCTCTAGAATATTCTCCCTTCAAATTAGAGGAGGGGAGAACCAATTCTCCAGAAGGAGAATTCTTCCTGATTCTTGCTCCTGCTCTTGCTCCTTCTTCTTCAATAAATGGGTTTGGGAAACTACCCAAATAAAAAGAAATAGAGCCAGCCCTGAGTGGTGTAGCTCAATGGGTTGGGTGTCGTCATGCAAATCAAAAGATTGCCAGTTTGCTTCCCAGTCAAGGCACATGCCTGGGTTGCCAGCCAGGTCCCCAGTTGGGGGCATAAGGGAGGCAACCAATTGATGTTTCTCTGACTTATCAATGTTTCTCTCTTTTCCCTTCCCTTCCCTCTCACTAAAAATAAATAAATAAAATCTTTTAAAAAAATACAGACAGATCACAACTGCTGTCTTCATATCAAAATAAGTTCCAAATAAAAACTTAAATTTAAAGATTAAATTTAAAGATTTTAAATTACATATATACACAAAGTTCTCAAAAAGAATTGGTAACTGCTTTTATAATTTTGAGGTAGCAAAGCATGCCTTGTCTTTTTTAAATTTATATATTTTAATTAAATTCATTGGGGTGACATTGCTTAATAAAATTATATAGGTTTCAAGTGTACAATTCTATAATAGATTATCTGTAATTATATTGTGTTTCTTCCTCCAAAGTCTAGTCATCTTTGGTCACCATTTAACCCCTTTACCCTCTTCTACCTGCCCCCACCCCCTTTCCTCTGGTAATCACCATACTGTTGTCTGTATCTGTGAGGGGTGTTTTTGTTTTTTATGTTTTTTTGCTTAATCCCTTCAACTATTTCACCCAGCCCTCCAAGTTCCCTTCCCCTCTGACAGCTGTCTGTCTATCAAAGCATACGTTCTCTAAGCACAGGCCTAGCAGCAGAGAAAACTACAAAGGAAAAAATTATTTTGACTACCTAAAAACATAAAACTTCTAGCAGGAAAAAAACTGCATAAACAAAGACGAAAGCAAGATGACGAACTGGTAACAATTCTGTACCATATATAAGAATCAACACTTTAACTCTTACAAATTATTGGGAAAATGTGTAAAGGACATTAAGTGATCCAAAGTCCCAATGTCCAAATTATGTCCAAATGTCCAAAATATATTTGAAAAGATGCTCAATCTTTAATATTCAAAGAAATGTAAAGTAAATCATACTTATTGCATGCTACATCTCAGTTACTATTTGAATTCATTTTACTTGAATTAATTGATTTATCCCCTCACAAAATAGGTACTATTGTCATTATCCCCACTTTATTATCAAAAATGAAACTGAGGGAAGAGAGGTTAAATGACTTACCTAAGGTCACATAGTAAGTGACTGAGTCAGAATTCAGGACCCAGCAGGCTGGCTCCAGAGTTACATGCTCAACTACTGTTCAGTCACAAGACCATGTCTCACCTGTCAGATGGGGAATACAAAAAACACACAACCCAGTGTTACTCATAATATGAAGAAATTGACAACCTTATAACCGTTGGTAGAAGTTAACATTCTTTTTTTGTTGCTGTTGTTGTTGAAAAACAATGTATATTTATAAGTAAAAATGAATGAAAAAAATATCCTAAATTCCAAAAGGACTCTGTTCTTTTCTTTTTTTAATATATTTTATTAATTATGCTATTACAGTTGTCCCATTTTCCCCTTCACTCCCCTCCACCCTGTACACCCTCTCTCACCCATATCCCCCCTTTAGTCATGTCCATGTGTCATACTTATAAGTTCTTCAGCTTCTACATTTCCCATACTTTTCTTACCCTCCCCCTATCTATTTTCAACCTACAATCTATGCTACTTATTCTCTGTACCTTTTCCCCCTCTCTCCTCCTCCCACTCCCCTATTGCTAACCCTCCATGTGATCTCCATTTCTGTGGTTCTGTTCCTATTCTAGCTGTTTGCTTAGTTTCTTTTGGTTTTGCTTTAGGTGTGGTTAACAATTGTGAGTTTGCTATCCTTTTACTATATATGTCTTTTCTTTATCTTCTTTTCTTAGATAAGTTCCTTTAACATTTCATAAAATAAGGGTTTGGTGATGATGAACTCCTTTAACTTGACCTTATCTGAGAACCACTTTATCTGCCCTTCCATTCTAAATGAAAGCTTTGCTGGATAGAATAATCTGGGATATAGGTCCTTGTCTTTCATGACTTGGAATACTTCTTTCCAGCCCCTTCTTGCCTGCAAGGTCTCTTTTGAGAAATCAGCTGACAGTCTGATGGGAACTCCTTTGTAGGTGACTGTCCCCTTACTCTTGCTGCTTCTAGGATTCTCTCCTTCATTTTTACCTTGGCTAATGTAATTATGATGTACCTTGGTGTGTTTCTTCCTGGGTCCAACTTCTTTGGGGCTCTGTGAGCTTCCTGGATTTCCTAGAAGTCTATTTCCTTTGCCAGAATAAGGAAGTTCTCCTTTATTATTTGTTCAAATACATGTTCAATCTGTTGCTTTTCCTCTTCCCCTTCTGGTACCCCTATAATTCGGATGTTGGAACGTTTAAAGATGTCCTGGAGGTTCCTAAGCTTCTCCTCATTTTTTTGAATTCTTATTTCTTCATTCTTTCCTTTTGGTTGTTTTTCTCTTCCTTCTGGTCCACTCTATTGTTTTGAGCCCCAGTTTCCTTTCCATCACTATTGGTTCTCTGTGCATCTTCCTTCATCTCTTTTATGGTAACCTGCATTTTTTCATCTAATTTGCGCCCCAAATCAACCAATTCTGTGAGCTTCCTGATCACCAGTGTTTTGAACTGTGCATCTGATAGACTGGCTATCTCTTGGTCGCTCAAAAGGATGAGTCCTGGGGCATTAATCTGTTCTTCTGTTTGAGACATGTCTCTCTCTCTCTTTTTTTTTTTTTGGTCTGGTTGCTCCTGTTACGGTAAGGGGCGGAGCCTTAGGCGTTCATTGGGGCTGGGCACCCCAGTCGCTAGATTGTGACGTTGTATGTGGGGGTGGGGGCAGGGGTGGGGGCAAGGGTGGTGGCGGGGGGGAACAATGGCGGTAGCTCCATTCTCCTGGCCTCAGTCCCTTCTCTGGGATCCTGGGTTGCGTGCTCTTCCCTGGTCCACAATCGCCGCCTCACTGGGTCTGCCAGCTGCCGCTTGCGTACTCAGGGTCCACCCGCTGCGATCTTGTGCACCCCAGATGCCTTACGCGCTCCCGGTTGCCTTATGCACCCAGTTCTCCCAGTTCTCTCAGTTCTCCCTGTTCTCCGAGCGCTGCAACCCGCGCCAGGCTGCTCCTCTCGGCCCCTCCTACCAGTCTGGATGAACGGGTCTACTTCAACTTCTTGGCTGTCCGACTTCCATTCAGATAAATTCTCTATCAGTTCTGGGTGTTATTCTGCCTCTAAATTGTTGTTGTTCTAATCTTGGTTGTGTGTGGAGGTATGGTGCATCCACCTATGCCTCCATCAAAGTTAACATTCTTAAAGGTTGTTAAAATGAGTCAACATTTTAAATGTGCATATCATTAACTCGGCCATTGCATTTCTTGAAATTTATCCTAAGGAGTAAGTATAAAAGTATGCAAAGATCATAACATTTATCAGAGTATTTATCACAGACTCTATATAATAACAAAAATATTGCAAATAAAAAGCCCAATAGGTATACAAAAAATTCAACAAATTCATTCATTTAACAAATATTTATTGAGCACCAATTGTGACCAGGAACTGCTCCAAGTACCAGGTATAAAGTAACGGGTAAAAAAAAAAAAAAAATGTCTGTCTTCATTGAGTTTACATTCTAATGGAATGTGTTAGACAATAAACAAATACATTTTGAAAATGTATATCAAGCCCTGGCTGGTGTAGCTCAGTGGACTGAGCATGGGGTGAGGACCAAAGGGTCACTGGTTCAATTCCCAGTCAGGGTACATGCCTGGGTTGCAGGCCAGGTCCCCAGTGGGGGTCATGCAAGAGGCAATCACACACTGATATTTTTCTCCCTCTCTTTCTCCCTCCCTTCCCCCTCTCTAAAAATAAATAAATAAAATCTTTTTAAAAATGTGTATCAAGTGGTGCTAAATGCTATAGAGAAAAATAAAAGAGAAAAAGGAAATAGGAAAGAAAGGTTTGTTACAATTTTAAGTAGGGGAGTCAGGAAAGGCCTCACTGATAACAAATGAGCTAAATAGATTAAATATTAGAGAATAAAATGTATTACAGTATAGCCACACATTGAAATATAATTCAACAACTTACTCTGTATTGGTTAACATGAAAAGATATCTATAACACACAATCAAATGAAAAAAGATTTTCACCATACACACACAAAAAATTGGTAACTATGTGTGGTAATGAATGTGATAATCATCTAACACTATATATGTATATAAAATCATCACACTGTACACCTTGAACTTATACAATGTTGTATGTCAAGTTTATCTTAATAAAACTGAAGGAAAAGGTAAAAAAGGACTACAAAACAGTACTAAAGAAAAAAACAGGGAGCGGGGGGTTTGGCAAGGCACAGGAGAGGAACAGGGGAAAAATGGGGACAACTGTAAGTGAACAACAATAAAAACTTTTTAAAAACAGTATTAATGTATAATTCCATTAATATGAAATTACATGTACATATATGCTGATACTTTAAATGGGAGAAAAGAAAAACACAGAAGATTGATAATACCAACCAAGGGTCTGGAATGAGTGCCAGGCAAGTGATACGGGTGGCATTTGTTGTTCTCCCAGCCATTCACTCATCCTCCTCCCCACACTTATACTGTGTTTCAGAAAGGATCTAAGGACAGCAAATCCACATACCTCTACCAGTTCTTTAACTCTCCCCATCTTCCTTCACCCTTTTCCCTCCTCTTCCCAGAAGCCAGGCCAGTGACAGGATGAAAGGGATAAAAGCTTAAGATTGAGGTAAGCTGAGGGGGCATAAGAAGAATGGAGGGAAACCCTCCTAGATCTGGGTGGGATTCCTCTAATTTTGGCACATGGGAAACAGATACTGAAAGGCACACTTCCACCCTGCATATCTGTAAAACTTAAAACGAGGCTATTTGATTCAGAGTCCCTATTTCATCTCCTATTTATCCCCAAAAGCCTTGCAGAGCAACCAGGAGGTGACATTCACAGGGAGGTAACAGACGCAGTAGACCAGGGCTCTACACCTGGAACAAGTACCTGTATCTCCCTATGAGCAGAAAATGACACAGAGCTAAGCCCTTTTCCCCCGTATCTTATCCCTTCCTCCATGCCTGCACCTAACAAGCTATCCTGGCTAAGGTAAACTCATGTCCAACCCCACCCACCCACTACACCTTGCCACAACTACCCTCGAGTTTTACACACTTCTCCCCTAAGATTCTCAACACTAGGTTCCTACTAAGTTGCCCAAGGTGGTAAGACATGCTAGCTTGGAACATTTTCTGTCTGGGGTAAGGTTTTAAGTAACCTAGTGGACAGGGTCCAGATGTATCTGCTCTCAGATATGTAGGAACATACTACACTTCTTGCATAAAGCCACAAACAAGAAACTGGAAGCTTTCCAAAGATGGTATCCATGTTGCTATCCCCCCTCTCTCTCTCTCTCATTTTAAAATGTTTATTCATTTCAGAGCGAGAGGAAGGGGAAAAGAGAGAAACATCTATGTGAGAAAGAAACATCAATTGGTTGCCTCCCATATGTACCCTGACCGGAGATCAAACTTGTAACCTAGGATGTGGCCTGTTGGGAATTAAATCCCTAAACTTTTGATGTACAGGATGACGCTCCAACCAAGCTACACCAGCCAGGGCTATTCCCTATCTCTTTAGCCTGAGAGTAGGAGTGAGGGCACATGAGAGGTAGGGGACCTAGAGAAAGATTTAAGTGTTTGAAAATATTTCTCACATACTCCTTATCACCTCTTGGCTATCTACAATATGCCAGGTCCTGTGTTAAGTGCTGTCATATATCCAAGTGCTTTCGTATCACCAAAATGAAAAATCACTTTTATCAAACATCCCTATCATGTGCTACTAAATTTAAAAAGCCTAAGGCATTGGCCCTGGCTGGTTTGGCTCAGTGGATTGAGCACACACCTGCGAACCAAAGGGTCACTGGTTCAATTCCCAGTCAGGGCACATGCCTGCATTGCCGGCCAGGTCCCCAGTAGGGAGGGCTCAAGAGACAACCACACACAATGTTTCTCTCCCTCTCTTTCTCCTTCCCTTCCCTTTTCTCTAAAAAATAAATAAAATCTTTGAAAATAAAAAAACAAAAAGCCTAAGGCACAAACAGATCCAGATGTCCTGCTGACAGGTGAATACCCAGGCTTGAAATTAGGAAGAGGATAGAAATCTGAGATTCTCCTGAGGGTTGCAACATCGAAGTCTCACTACATACTATCAGTCCACAGGCTTAAAGACCCCATACCAGTTTTTTCCTGAGTTTTCAGCA